CGGGATAAAAGAACGTAAAATTAAAAAAGTTGGTATTTAAATCGCTTGGTTGCCTCGACTCACGTTTCATCCTTATCTTTCATTCGCTGTCCTTGTCTACGTTCGGCAAACTACAAAGGCGGGCGCGAGGCTCGAAAACGTAGTCCCTGACTCTACAAGTGTCAGGTTCAGGCCTTGCGGACTGACACTTGTGGAGAATTTACTACATATATAAAAAATGAATTGAATGGTTAAACATTGAATAAACTCACCGTTCCATTGGCGTAGTAATTCTCCAGTTCCTTGAACATATCCGTGAACACAGACGCGTTTTGCTCGTACAGTGTACCATACGTCTTCTTGAACATCGCGTGGAAGACTCTTTTGCTGGTAGCCAGAAGATCCTTGAAAAAACCTGCACAGGAAAGGAAACAGAAGAATTCTTTATTGCTGTTACAATCAGTCGGAAGAATTAAAGTTGTCAAGAAAATGCACGTTGTATTTCTGGTAATTTGATGAAGGCAAAGGGTAAGAAGAGATATACAAAGAATGCTTCCATAAAGTAATTGCTCTTCCGGCCAGCCATGGATACATAAATAATTTATACGAATACTAATTAATTTATCCGATCGAAAATGTAATTTCCTTAATTGCAACGCTTCTTCCCTTATTGTCACAGCGACAGGAATAATTTGTAATGGCAGACGAAACGAATCGATCTCTGCCTAGTCCTCGATACGACAGACAAAGACAGCCTGTTACTCGAGATTTGCAAATCAATTACAGGTAGGAATCCCTCTTGGCCGAGCTGATCACGCGTTAACAATGTTTGCCTCTTATCGCACGACAGTGCGTAAGATGCTTTCCTTCTAATTTGCAAACGTTAATTAAATACTTTCCCCTGGAGCTGGGCTACGCGTTAACGAGCTTGTCTCAACTTTCCAAATGACTTCTACCGCTCGTTTGTCATTATCTTGGATTTTATGCTTCGAAAATGTGATACTGTTGGAGTTGGATTAATCTGATAGTGTGTGCATTGTTTCTAGGAAGAATTTTTCATTTTTTCACGTGGTTATACGTGTTTCAGTTTGAAATTAGAATTTAACAGAATTTCAGTGAAATTGTAAGAGATGTTTAGCGATGGAAAAAAGATCGAAATTTGTGGTTAGAATAACTGATACAATTTTGGTATTCATTCTTGGCGCCATTCTAGTGTTTAACGTAAAGATGGCCACTGAATATGCCGAATTATAATCAGTATCCCAAAGCAAAATAGTCCTAAGATAATTAAATTAGCAAAGATGCCGAAATTTTGGCTCAGATATTTAAACAAGTGACTAATTAATTCAATTATAATTAAGGATTCACGAAAGACAACATGAAACCAATAAAATAATAAAGAAACCCAAAGTGTCCAGCACAATGTTCCAACTGCTTCTGAAAATTCTTGCCAACATTTAGCAACAAGAAAAACAGCCAGCCAATTAATCCAATGACCATCATCGTTAGAAGAATTCATGTTTAGCTCGGAAAAAATGTCACAGAGGTGGTAAAAGAAAGCTTTTGGAGAGAGAAAAGGGAAAGGTGCTTGAGTTTTCGAGTAACAATGGTGGCGAGCGTTCCCGGTACACCATGGCCGGGCCGACAAAGAGGCCGGTTGCCGCCACCCTCGACGTCGCGTAACCTCACGAACCCGTCACAGGCCTGAACCCGTTCTTATCGTCACTTCAGTCGCGAAGAATGTGATTAAAATTCCTTTTAACGACGCCTGGGAGTACCGGCGAGAAACGGGGAGACAGAAAGAGAGAGAGAGAGAGAGAATGAGAGTGAACAGGTAGGTAGGTAGGTAGCCCGGTGTAACGAATCGTCGGCGTCGTCGACGACGACAACGACGACGACGACGCCGGGCAAAAAGCTCTGGGCTCCGCGTGAAAGGGGAAGGAAGCACTTAGCGCCGCGACGACTGGCTAGGAACTTCGTCGGGCTTTTAATTCGCGACACGCTCCCACGTTCGCGACTAATTCTCCCTCCCACTCTCTGTTCCTCATGGAAATCACCCCTCTGTCGCGTCTATTCGTGGGGAAAATTCTCGATTTTTCTATTAACAGGGGATTGTCGGTGAGTGTGATTTCACGTGTGTTGAGTTTGATTAAAATAATATTTTCATGGCACGCGCACGTACGAAATAAAAATGATATTTTATATTTCTTCATTTCTTTCGGTTTTCATTTCGTCCGTACGCTTGTGCACGTGAATATCGTATACACATAGCGATTGTTGCGCGCATAGTGAACGTTGTGTTTGCTGTACATAATGGAGTACGCATACGAAGAACCTTTCCAACATGTAAGCGCCGTTTACTGTGCCAAATTCTACGTCTTGTACGAGGTAAAGTACCCGCCGTGTGTCGTTAGTTTCGAGGATCGCTGTGCCCCTGTAGTATGACGTGCCCTATATTCGTTGGTGTATAGCAGGTGGTTCTGCTACGGGGATATTTTCAAACGTTAGTTACTAACAAACGAAGCCTCAAACGAAGTTTCTTTATTCTTCATTTTTGTCTTATTTCGGCTTCTAGAATCGTGCCTAAAATTTTCTCCCACGAATGGCTTAATATTCTGTAGATCACGTACTACAATAAATAAATAAATAAAAAAAATTCTCCATGCTAACCCTTCCCTCTTTT